GTCCCTGGGATGACAGGAAAGGAGCACCCAAGGCCGGGCTGCAGCACATTCCCTGGAGCCTCGGGCTGCGACAGGCCCTGTCCCTGGGGCTCAGGTCAGGGTGAGCACAGGAGGCCAGAGCAGGCAGAGATGCCCAGGCTAGTTCCAGAGTGAAGTTGCCAGGAGGGCCTGCCTGCCCAGAACTCCCCACGCAGGACGACTCCCACCCGGGACGGCCCACCCAGAATGACTCCCTGCCCTGCACGGCACCATCCGGGAAACCTGCTCTGCAAGACGCTGCTCCCAGCCAGCTGCTGGCTTCTCAGGCCTTGGTGTGATTGAAACCACCAGCCTCCTGCAGTTAGTGACTACACCATGGTTTAAAGCCTGACACCTGCACAGAGCCCACTGCAGGGACTCAGGGAATCTCCTTGTCTGCCCACCCCTTTCCAAAAGCAGCTCTCATGCCGTCTCCTCCTCCATTTCCATAAATACAATGGATTCAATGATGCTTTGCATCTTCCGGACCCACTGGAAACATTATAATGATTCATTGGGTAAAATACTCGAAGGGCTGTGTGTCTTTCTCAACAGGGATCTGAGCAGCTTCCTCAACATCAAGCTTTCATTGCAGCAAAACAGTTTCAGGAAGGGTGGAGCTGCCACCCAGCTCAGGGCACAGATGGTGAAGTGGCAGGTGCAGGCACCGGTGCCACTGGACACGAGGGTCACACCCAAGCGACAAGGGCCTCAGTCTCTGGACAGGAGCCACTTGAGGGTGGAAGAGAGGGGACCTCCTCCCCTGGGCCCCCAAGTCCCCCCATCCCTTCTCCAGTGTCAGGGCCCTGCCTGAGCCCTGGGGACATCCCCCTGACTCGGGGACTCAGAGATGGAGCCACTATCCCTGGAGCTCACAGAGTTCTTCTAAGCTCCAAGTCTGCTCCCCGTAGTTTCTGGGGAAAAGTAACCGTGGACATAAGCTCAGGAGACCAGGTGCACGTGTGTCCTGGCTTCCACGTGGGAACATACTGTTAGTGTGTTTGTGTGTGTGCACTTGAGTGCATGCATGTGTTTGAGTCTTTGCAAATGCATGCTCATGTGTCCATGTGTATGCAAGTGTGTATGTCTGCCCGTGTATTTGTGCACATGCATGCATGTGGGCAAGTGTGCACCCTGGGGTCATGTGTTGCCCATGCACTGCATGTACATGTGCTCTTACGTGTTCACACATTTTTGAGCGTGTGTGCATTCACTGTGTGCTCATTTGTGCACACTCACCATGCATGTGTGTGTTCACATGTGTGCATGTTACGGGCATGTGTGCTCCTGTGTGTGCATCTATGGTCACATGTGCCCATGCATGTGTGTGCTTATGTTCCCTTATGTGTTCACACATTTCTGAGTGTCCATGTGTGTGCACTGTGTGTTCATGTTTGCATACATTCACATATGTATGTATATGTGTGCACCTGTGTGTATCCCCATGTGTGCATGCGTGTTCATGCTTGCATGCAAGTGTGTGCCTGTGTGTGTGGATTCACTGTGTTCTCACGTTTGAGCACATTCAGCTATGCATGTATGTGTGTGTGCCCATGTGTTCATGTGTGTGCATGCACGCAAGTGTGTGCCTGTAGTCATGTGTGCCCATGCATGTGTGTGTATTGCGTGCTCATGCTTTTCGCAGCGTCTGTGTGTGTGTGCATTCACTGTGTGCTCCTGTCTGTGTGCTCACCTGTGTATGTACATGTGTGTGTGTGTGTGTGAGGCTGTGTGTGCACACGTGGGTTGTTTTCCTCTCCTGGTTATTTGGGTCTGTCAACACATGGCAGGCACGACCTGAACTACGGAAGGCCCACTGCTCTGCGCCCCAGCTGGGCTCCCTCATGCTGATGCTCGAAGTTTAGAGGCAAGCAGGTTTCCGCAATGAGGCAGCAGGGGGCTGCTGTAGAGCAGTGTCAGTGTCCTTGTAGAAACATGGTAGATTGCAAAGATCTCAAGGAATTCATGACCTCTGAAGCCAGTGGGAAAACGCAGTCCAAACAGAAACAAACGTGGAATACAAAGACCACAAAGACCACACAGGAACAGGGTGGGAACCAGCACTTCCCGATTACTGGTTAATAGGAAAGTATCTTTTGTAAAAGTCCCACGGTGCCCCCACAGCTCCCAAGATTCTAGAGAGCTCAGGTCACCACCTGCCAGTCGTGGGCTCAGGGCTCCTGAACAGGGCTGGGCACTGACTGGATGCAGGGCTGGGCACAGGGAGGGAGGTTCCATGCCCTGGGGGTGAAAGCAGTGCTGGCCATGGTCAAGCCTAGGGTTGACTTGGAAGTAAAATGGATCCAAGCAGCTCTGGCAAAAGTCCACCAAGTGGGAGCAGCAGGTGCTCTGTGGCTCCAGCTTCCATCATCCTGGCTTTCCTCTCTCAGGAACGGGCCTCCCATTCTGAGGCTCCCACCTGTCCCTTGCCCCTCCCAGCTGCAACCGGACCTGCAGACGCACATGGCCAGCGTCTGAGTTCCCTGATGGTGTCCGTGGTGACCACCTGCAGAAAACACTTTATTCCTTCATTTCCAGGACACTCCCCAGCCTCCGCCTCCTGATGGAAACACCTTCTCCTCTCCCTTCCAGGACGAACCCACCCCGCCTGCCAGTCCTTGCTGGAAACACCTTGTTCCCTCCCTTGTTTCCAGGATGCCCCCAACCTCTGCCTCCCTGCTGGAGACTCCTTCTCCTCTCTCTTCCAAGACACCCCCAGCCTCCGTCTCCCTGCTGGAAGTGCCCTGTCCTCTGGCTTCCAGGACACTCTCTGGCCTCCGCCTCCCCGCTAGAGCTCTCTGAGGCACCTGGAGCTCTCAGCCTCCTGCTGCTTGAGCCACTTCCACCTTCTTTCTTTCCAGCCCTTGCTCTCATCCTTCCTGCTTGCCGTCCACACAGCCTGCCACTCCGCAGCAATGTTCCTGTCCACACAGCCTGCCACTCCGCAGCAATGTTCCTGTCCACACAGCCTGGCACTCCCCAGCAACGTTCTCCGCCAACCCTGAGACCTCCACCTGGCAGTCCCAGGGCACCTCTGCCCACCAAGCCCAAACAGGAGCTAAGCCTCTTCCTCCCGTGCATTCCACACTCCATCCACAGAGGCTTGGGCCACAGGCAGGCTCCTCTGGCCCCTTCACAGCACCTCCAGGTGTGACACGGAGCTGTGGGTCAGGCCTGCTGCCTGGGTCCACGCCCATTGCCGGCACCGTGGCTCAAGGCCTCTCTCGCACCGGACTTCACAGCGTCTTGAAAACACGCAACACAGTGTCCGCACACCGTGGCCACTGCCCGTATCGTCCGGCCGCCTTCACTTTTTAGAAACCCCGGTCCTGGGGGCCCCGTCTGTGCCAGCAGACCCACACTCAGACAGGAAGACACTGCTTTCCATCACAGGAATTATTCTGTCACACGTCCTCTGATCTCAGGCTTCCAAATGAGAAAACGAAAGCTATCGTTCTGAAGGGGGATCTCTTTGCTGAGGGACCAGCCTCATCTAGAAAGGTTCAATCCAACGACGTCCCTACCGCGGTGTTGGGAGTTTCTGGCCTCCTCACAGCAGAGGCACGTTCTGCGGAGCCTCCCGCTGGGCAGGTGCTTTCTGGAGGGTTTGCAGAGTGGCGCCACACGGAGAGCCATGCACTGAAAAGGACCACCCACGAAGTGCCTTCTCCCCCCCACGGTGGGACAGCCTCTCATCCTCCAAAAGTCTGCCGAGCGCGTGAGATAACAGCACTCCTAAACGCTCGCACCAAGCCTCCTCCCTGCTTCCAGGGCCTGGCCTGCAGCCCTGAGCCGTGTCACCCCCAACCCAAGGCACCGGGGCAGTGCCCACCAAGGATACCACAGGGACCCACATCTAGGCCGCTGTGAGTAGCCTGTGGATACGTGTGTCCCGGGGGATTCTGGATGGGGGAGAAAGTGTGATTGGCCGTGAGGTTTGTCCATAAAGACATGAGGCCTCGGGGTTAAGATGGGGACTGAATCCCCACCTGGGATAATGGGTCAGGGGTGCCCTCCGGGGTCTCCTTCTTCCTGAGGGAAAGGGGACCTGGATCAGTGGTTTTTTACCTGGATATTGGGGATCCTGGGGAGCCCAGGAAAGTAGGCCGTGGGTCTCCACTGTCTCCTCTCACAGCTTACAAGAGCCTCTGGAAACTGAAGCTTTGGCCACGAGCAGGGGACTCGGGCTCCAGCGCTGGGTGTTTTGGGTGGAATTCCATCAGCTCAGTGCTGGGTGTTTTCCGTGGAATTCTGTCCGCTCAGGGCTGGGTGTTTTCCGTGGAGATGTGTCAGCTCAGGGCCGCTGCACCAGGTTTGTTGGACTCTGCAGAGGGGGCGGCTCGGAGCCAGGTACATCTCCCAGATAGAGAAAATTGACGTTAATCATTACTAAATAATTCACGGAGGCTGTGTTGGTCTTTTGTTTGTTTGTTCTGCTTTTGGCTTTTGAAATGGAGCCTGTGAATAGAGACGACCAGCCCACTGCGTCTACCTGGTGTGTAGCATGGGTGCCGACGGGGTCTGTGTGGCCTGTGACGGGGGTATCAATAGCCCCACAGACACTCACGGAAACCGCATCGGAGAAAGCAGAGCCTCCTCCAAGGCCCACGGCTGCTACTTAGTGGAAAGCGGCCTCGAATACAGGCCCAGTTTAACCCAGAAAAGTAAACATCCCCACTGGTTTGCTTCAGGGTCACACCTTGTGTGATGTGGGTTCGCCGCAGCAGACACCTTCAGCTTGTATGGTAGCAAGTATTCGACTTATGCCACTAAATTAGGAAAACAGGTGGCACGTGTGCTGTCCTCTAGGGCAGGCGATGCCCCTCTGGTCTGGGGCCAGTGCCCTCCCCCGTGCGGGCGGCAGCCGGGTGGTTCTCTCGATGACACGGACAGGGCTCAGCAGGGCCAGCAGAGAGAACTCACAGAGGAACACGTCTTCCTACGAGGCAGTTAATTAACCAGACGCTTGCTTCACGCCAGCCTGGAGGAGCGCTTTTCCGGGAAGCAGGGGCGACTTCATCAGGAAACATCATTATCGGCGTAAAGGCATCTGTGGAGGACTAGTTAGCGGCCGGGCACTCGGCTCTTCTAGGAACACCACGAGATTGCAGCTTGAAAAATGGCCACCAAGGAACGGGTGGCCCACTTAGGCGGCTGCGGAGCCGGGCACAATATTAATGACATCATTAACTTCACTGTGAATTTCCATACCCGGTGGGTGCTTGTGCACAGTTATTAATACGGCTCCATTCCCGAAGGCCTCTGGGTGTTGTGTGTGCAGAATAACAATCGCTCAGGTGGCCAGGACGCGGTGCGTGTCCAGGTGGACGGCACTGGACAGATGGAGCCGCCACTCCTGGGAAGGGCACCTGGCCTGGAGGAGACCCCTAGGGCAGACCCTGCTCTGGAAGCATGTCCGTTCCTCATGCCCACAGCAAGGCAGCAGACAGGAGCCAGTGCGGACCCGGGGCCTGAGAGGCACCGTCGGTCCATTGGCCTCTGCCCCGTGACTGTGAGCAGGTGGGGCACGTGCCTCAGTTTCCCCTTAGCGTACGAGGAACACAAGGTTATCCTGAGGTTCAAGGCTGCAGCCACAGCCTCCTCACCACTCACTCATGCCAGGAGCCACCGCTGGATGATTTAATGCTGGTCACCCTGATAACCCTGTAGGGTAGAGAGAAAATTATTTTTCTTTTACAGTTAGGGAAACGAGGCACAGGAAGATAAAGTCAGTCACCCACAGAGACACAAGCATGGAACAGAGAACAAGATTCAAGCTTCCAGTGCAGAGTCACCGTCCGTGTCCCCAAGTGCCACACTGCAGCATCTCCACGTATCAAGATGGGAACGTTTCCCAGGAAGTAAAATCCCAGCACAGGTGCCCCCACTAACCCAGGAGCCCACAGACAGTGGCCAGGAGCGGGTGCCCACCCAGGGTCTCCAAGCCTCCAAGAAGCCTACCCAGCTTCTCCAAGCCCCAGGCGCCTCATTTGTCAAGCACGGAGGGTGGTCCTGCTGCTGCTACAGGGTTCCTTCGGGAGGCATTGAGGCGAGACTCTGCCCCAGGGAGCCACTCTGTGGGCGCTCAACACTGTGAGTGCCCCTTTCACGAGGCGGCTGTAGGCGGGGCCACAGGACAGGAAGGCGGCCAGGCCGTGCGTGGGGCGGGGCCACAGGACAGGAAGGCGGCCGGGCCGTGCGTGGGGCGGGGCCACAGGACAGGAAGGCGGCCGGGCCGTGCGTGGGGCGGGGCCACAGGACAGGAAGGCGGCCGGGCTGTGCGTGGGGCGGGGCCACAGGACAGGAAGGCGGCCGGGCTGTGCGTGGGTGTGTTGATGATTCGGCACAGGTGGAGGGTGGATGTCCCCAGGCAGTGGCAGGGACTTGGGAGAAAAATTCATGTCCCAGATCCGGAGAGCCCCAACCAGAGGAGCCCAGCTTCGGGGCAGCACGCGGCTGTGCAGCCTCTGGAGCCGTGTGCCACGGTGGACCCTGGACCCACAGCCAAGCAGAGTGGGAGAGACCCTGGAGGGTCCCTAGGCACCCAGGTGGCTTCTCATCCAATGATCCCTGTGTCTGAGAGCTTGGCCCACATTCACAGATGACGTCTGGCTCCTGGAGGTGCAGGCATTGACGCTGTCTGGGTCCTGTCTGGCCCACCTGGTGCTGCTCTGAGAGCCGAGACCCCCACCACTGTGAGGCCCTTTGCTGCCCTCCAACGGGAGCCCCTCCGAAGGAACAGGCTTCATCGCGAGTGGAGACGGTGCGCTGCAGAAGGCTAATGGATTCTAATGCTTTTCAGAACATGAAGGATTAAAATTCTAATACTGCCTGGAAGAAAACCACATGCCTCCAGTAGAAAATACCATCTCACAATTTCCATCTCAGGCCGAGGACAGTAACGTTAATAGGAAATGATACAAATTGAATTCATTTTCATTCTCATTACAGGGATGGGGTTACAAGTTGCCATCGGACACGGGGTCCTTGGGAGTCAAAGCGGCCCCAGCACGGAACTGTTTTCTCTGAGGACCCTGACGTCCATCTTGCAGGAGATCTGGGGGTGGGGAGCACCCAGGAAGGGACAGAGTGGGTGGCAGGAACAAACCCACAGGGGGTCAAGGGGAGCGCCTGGCCTGGGACCCCGTTACCTGCAGACTCTGCAGAGGGAACCGGCTTCCCTGCGGCCCAGCACAGGAGGGCCAGTGCATCTGCACACACGGTCTGGGGTCCGCACCACCGCCCCACGGCTAGGAGTCTGAAGCCTGAGGGTGCACGTGGCAGCTGCCGAGGTGGAAGGCACCGGGGCCTGTGAGTGGGACCCCCCCCATGCTGACTGCTTCCTGGGGTCCAGAGCACAGAGGGTGCGGTCTGGGTGCAGCTCAGAGGGTGGGTGGGCGTCCAGCAGCCAGGTCACTTGGTTCCCACACTCGCCCAGCCTTCATGTCCATGTCTCCATGTGGCCACCTCCCAATGCCCAGCAGCTGGGGCCACCTGATAGGGAGTGAGGGACCCATCCAGGCGGGATTGCCCTCCCTGGGATCTTCTTGGAGGGAGGAAGGAGTGTGGCCGCGTGACCGGAAGGGGACTCAGCCTGGAGAGCCGGTGGCTCCACCCCCCCCCATCTGTGGCATCGATTTCTGTCACGGGAACGCTGTGCCTGCTGCTGTGGTCCCAGGGGAGTCTCTTTGTCAGCAAATGCAACACAAACAGGATTTGTTAACAAGCTGCTATGATCCCTGGAGATTGCGGCTTCAGTGGGGTTTAGAATGAGGAAGAAAAGCCTGGGTGCTACCTTTGTCCCCGGCAGCTTGTCACACGGAGCACAGGGAGCTGGTGTGCCGCTGATTTCGGAGAGGGGGCACCACCCCCAGAATGGCCGCCGACAGGAACCGCGTGCCTGGTCCGTGTGTCTGCAGTGCACCCGGGTCTCTCTGTCCACACCCGGGTGTCTCTGCTGTTCTCTGTCCACACCCGGGTCTCTCTGTCCACACCTGGGTCTCTCTGTCCACACCCGGGTCCCTCTGTCCACACCCGGGTCTCTCTGTCCACACCCGGGTGTCTCTGCTGTTCTCTGTCCACACCCGGGTCCCTCTGTCCACACCTGGGTCTCTCTGTCCACACCCAGGTCTCTCTGCGGTTCTCTGTCCACACCTGGGTCTCTGCAGCGCTCTTTCCTGGATTTTGCTGGGAGTTCTTCACTCCCTCCTATGATACCTGATCCTGTGTACATGCTCAGTGTCCTCGTCCTGTGTGTGGTCAGTTTCCTTGTCCCTGTTTGTGGTCAGTGCCCTCATCCCTCTGTGGTCAGCACCCTCAGCCCACGTGTGCAGACCCTTCCTGGCTGCCCCCCGGACAGGCCCAAGACAGGCAGACGGGACGCGGGTCTGGACGGGGCAGGGACTGCTTTCTCCCTGGCTTCACGTCGTGGGTCTCACTTGGCCTTGAGTATTGCTGTCTGGATGGGTCTCTCCTGAGCACCCTGCCCTTGGGCTCCAGTTTCCCACTTGTCCAAAGTCCTGGCTTCCCATCGTGCGCACTGGTTCTGGGTGCTGGGCACAGTAGTAGGCGCAGTCTGGGTGGGCAGTGCCCGTCGATGTGGGGACTGAGTGCAGGTCTTGTGGAAAGATAGCAAGGGGCACCCCTGCCTGCTGTGTCCTCCCAGCTGGGCCCCTGGGGTTGGGGAAACGGAGACACCATCCCCCCCAGAAGTCTGTCTGGCTCCAGAATATTAGGCCACGTCACACGGGGCATCTTTAGAATGCCAGCTTCTTCAATGCACAGGGATCACAATGCCTGCCTCCCGCTCTCTGCTGGGGAGGGAGTCCACTTCTGTCCAAAACAAAGCATACCATTGAACAGCTGGGAAAAAAGGGAAGAGGAATTATCCAACACCATCGAGCAAAACGAGTTCCGAGTGACCCCTGCTTGTCCGAGCTATGGTCAGAACACTCGCAACCAGCGTCTGAGTGGCGGGAGGTTCGCTGCAGACCTCCACCCCCAGCGTGTAGCTCTCCTGGGATACAGGGAGGGGAACCACACACTTTGAAACCTGCAGACTTTATCTGTGACAAGTGTGACATGGATGACAGGAAAGTGACCAAGCTGCGCTGGGCTCCAGTTCCTCCCCGGGTTACCTGCTGTGCTGCAGGAAGCAGTGCCCATGTTGAGAAAACCACAGGCCAGTGAACTCTGGAAACACCTCTTTGCAGTAAATTCCAAGTCTTCAGCCTCACCTCCCGCCTTCTCCTGCCTGACCAGACCTCATGCCAGCTGGCCTCAGACCCACCAGGAGGAGAAGCCCCAGCTTGGCTGCCAGCTGTCTGCCAACCTCCAGTCACTCAAACTTTGAGATACCCTCAACTGTAACTGAGCACATGGCTCTGCCCAGATAGAGGCAGGCTTTTCTGGACTTTCTTGCAGCATGGTGTGGCTGTGTGACTAGGTCGGTCCCATGGGACCTAGGCACAAGGGATAGGCACCATTTCTGGGAAATGTTCTGCAAAGCAATGGGCATGCACTCCCTTTGGCCCGTTCTTCCTTTCAGCTAGCTGGGATGCAGATGTGATGGCAGGAGCCAGAGCAGCTATCCTGGGCTCAGAGTTTGAAGCCATTTAATGAGGTAGCAGAGTCACCCTACCAGCCCAGCACTCCCTCCCTTTGGACGGATAAACGGAGGTTTTGTTACCCTGGGTTAAATGGTGCCCTACATCATAAGAGCAGTGAGTGATCAGAGACAAGCTGGGAATTGCCCCAGGCTTCCACTCTGACCTTTTACAACACGTGTGATGTGGACAGCACCCAGAGGTGGAAATCCAAAACCACTTGTTCCACTGCTCTTCTTCCTCAGAGATCCCCAGAAACAGGACTGGCACCACCAACCCTCCAGCCCCAAGGACAGCCAGCTGCCTCTCTGACATGTGTTCCTCTGGGTGGTGATGGGGGAACCCAGCCTCTTCCCTTTGCAGCTCCCCCATCTCAGCCCTTAACTTCCAGCCCAGCTCGGGGATGGGAGAAGGAGGGAGTGAGGCACCAGAGCACAGTGAGCTTGGGCCCCGCACCCGTTCGCTTACCTTTCACTCAGGAAAATGAGCCACGTGCCCCTCCCTGGAAACTGGGGAGTGTGGGGAAAACATGGGTATTTGGGGAGCTTTGCAGGGCCTCATGATTCTACTGGGAGAAAGTGACCTTTCTCCTTTACTTCAATATAAAACCATTAATGTGTCTCCTATGACGCTGCTTGATCTAGAAAACCAGAAAAGAAAACTGAAGGAGGATAGTTAATTTACACCAAAGTGAGAGATGACTTGATGATAGGAAAACTAGACAAGAAGAAACAGCATTTGAATACGAGCGCGTTTCCGCAGAGGCTCACAGACATCTCCATCTGAGGCGGGTTGATGATACCCACACTGGGGGCCGTGGAAATAGGGTGACATCACAGGGGAGCGGAGCGGTGGGCAGGGCGGCACGCTTGGCTGTGGACATTTTTTTAAAATTCCCAACTTTGAACAAAAAGTGAAAAAGTCTACGTTTGTTACTAGGTTAATGGTTGTTCCTAGTACCCAGTGGGTAAATGTCGGACACGTGTAAAAAGCTCACTGAAGCCCCCGCTCTGTCAGCAGCGCTTTGTCTCTCCATCTGGTTCTGCCCTGGTGAAGAACCTGAATGTGAACATGGCTGGCCCACAGCCTGTACCCCTCTCCTGTCTGCCAGTGACCCGCCATCCCATCAGGAGGCCAAGACACCCCCGACCGTAAGAGACAGCAGAGGGGAAATGCTGCCCCACCTCCAGCTTCCCTCCCTGCCTCCCTCCTCCACAGCTGCTGCCCCAGGCTGGAGCCCCAGGGCCTCCTCCTCCTCTGGCAGGTCCCAGGGCCTCCTCCTCCTCTCGCGGGCCCCGGGGCCTCCTCCTCCTCTCGCGGGTCCCTCTCACGCTCTGCCTGCCCACGGCCACCTTGTAGCCCCTGTGGCCTAAGGAGCCCCTGCTTGTCCACCCTGCTGACTGAAGGTAAGGAGAGAGCCTGGAGATGGTCTGCGACACCAGGCAAATCTCTCAGACCCCCGTCCACAAAAACAGCCCCCACCCAGCCTAGCGGCTTGATGAGTAAAATTCTAT